GATACATGAGGACTTACTTACCAGCAGTCAAGCGAATGAAGAGAGTTTCGAGATACTTCTCAGTCGCTTCTACGTTCTCTAAGTTTCTAGGCCTCGAGATTCGTGCCTATGTTTAGTAGTTGTCTATTGTTCATGTCGCCCATCTGTGCAGTAGCGGTATGATCAACCTTGTATTGCAAATGGTAGAACTCGTTATAGGGAAGATGAAATTGTTAATTTAGTAAAGATCCAATGTTAGCATGATATGCTCTATCAAGCCGCAAAGTAGGGACTCTTGAGAAACAGATACAAGTGCAACCAGGTAAAACTTAATACCGTAAGATGACATACATCCTTATAGATTCAACAACATGCCCTCCTTCAGAGTTGGCAGACACTCCTCCACCGATCAGATTTGATTTACAAATTTTTGATTAGAATACATCAGTTGTGTCACAGTTTCAGTGGCAACACGTACAAACATTTACATTGCAATTTGTTCATCAAAGTAGAAGCTATCTACAGCACTTATTGAAGACTCCTGTGTCAAGTGTGTGTGCCTCTGCTTGAATCTATTTACTTCAGACCTATAAATGTAATATATCTTTGTAGGCTCAGAAAAAGAACACAACGCTTTCTCCCATACAGAATTCATTGTCCTTCTGCACACTCAATCTTAACCTTATATCGAATCGTCGTTTGTTGCCCTAAACTCTATGAATCATGTCTATATCTATATATGTGCATGCTCGTGAGAAGGCTTGTGAGAGGCTCTGAGTAAATAACCAATCAGCAGACTCATGAGCAACTCAATAAGTATCGAAGGCTAATTTCGGTGAATCCAGCTACACGATATACACACAACTCTACTAGTGAGCATTCACTAGATGAGTTATAATTGCCTGCAGAATTTCTTTCTTTTAGTCATCCGACTCCTACTCAGTGCGTCGTGATTGCGCGAAGAGAGAGCTTTGATTGATAATCTTTCCTCCAACAATTCTAGATGGATAGGAATAAACGTAAAGGGTTTCTTTCTAGTAAAAGTATGATATTTGCGACAATTATTAAAAGGTCCTAACATAAATTATTCCAATAATGAAAGTAATCATTGTGCCAACATAGGATACCGAGCCAACAAAGCTAACTATATTCTCAAACTGTATAAATATATAAAAGTTAAAGAGATAACCTATTACTAGTTGATAGGAGTGAAAACAGAGGTATAAATATCACTACTCTGTAACTGTATAGCACTAGGCAGAAAATACGGAATAAGCACGAAGGAGACGGACAATATATGATGTTTATTGGTCGATATGTTTTTCCTCTTTTTTCACTTAAGGTTTATCTCAAGATGCCAGATACGAGATGCTCTTCAGTATTTAGGGTAGAGCCCGAGCTCGCTTATATAATTTGCGATTATCTGCAAATCATTCAACATACAGGCCTCAACATATGTGAAAATTCATGCCAATCATAACATGGCTTGTCTCCACACATCTACATGCACATTGTGGGCATTGACATAAATTTGTAGTGTGGACATATGAAGAGCTGCAATCAGTACTGTAGTACAGGTTTGTTTGCGCATTTATGTCAGCATTGTGGCGCGTTCACCGTAAGCCTCGACCTAGCATCTTTCTAACTACCTCTCCCATTGAAGCATATGTGCCTGGCAATCCATATTATCCACAAACCGTGTAACAACTTCCCTCAAAGAGAGAGGGTATTTCGGAGACTAAATGTTTTCCTTGGGAACCCTAGGGTACTGTAAAACCATGGCAAATAAAAGAGGGAGTACTAGATGATCGTTATTGACTTGCTTATTCCCATTTCTTTCTTTCTTTTTCTGTTTGTGTTTACTGACTTAGTCGTTGACGAGTAAATTCATTGGTTACATATGCATAATTTTGATAGACCAAGACTCTACTTATTGGGACTTCGTTTCATTGTGTTAACCTGTCCTGTATTTGCTCAGGTGACATGAATAGTTCTCGATACAGTGACAATTTTGTTTTGTCTTCGTGTGAAACGTCCGACAGAATTCATGAGATTTGTAGATCATGTCTGATTTACAATTTCTTCTTTTCTGTAATGATGTTCTATTTGCTTCATGACTGTGCCACTGTGTTAATTTCTCGTTAGTTTTATGGTAACCTGAATCTATCATTTTAGACTCTCAATATAAGGATCATACGCATCGCTGTGCACGTGTGTCAACACCAGTTATGGCAACTAGTATTTCGCTTACCACTTTAACTTATCTTTTTCTCCAAATAGCATCATGATTCCACTTATATTCGACAGGTGTCGCGTTTGGCACGCATGGAGATATATGTGAATTTATGTCACCTTCATATTGGATTCACTACATATGTACTCTGTCATTCTGAATTGGCAAATAGCTGTATGGAGATGAAATTGATCATCTCTCATCACTTCATTATTACACATTTGGTATCGTGGCTACGTGGATGCAAAACTGGATAATGTTGGGAACACAACCCAAATCGTTAAGCTATTCGTCCGTTCTTATCAATTGGATTCATACGTATATATCCGTTATAGAACGGAAGACTGTTTTCTCATTCAAACAGGAATTTAGATATGATCTAACAAAAAAGAGATGATGATAAAATAGATCACCGTCAAGGGTTCCCAAAGTTATTATCACATAGATAGCATGGTAGAAATCAAAACTCCCAACGATAAATTCACTCGATCTATTGCTCGAAGGATCTTGTCTATATTTTATGCGTTAGCGAGGCTGCATATCGGGCGAGCGAGTAAAACAGAAGCCCACGGATCTCCCATTTGTTATAAACCGAAATGGGGAAACACCAATATGATCCAAAATTAAACATAAATCGTAAATGGTTGTTGAATACGTGTGCGTCTTGATCTGCATTACTCCAAAAATAACTTGAGCTATGTATGTATTTTACGAGAAGGTACATTCTTGTGTGTTAGAGATGCTAGTAGGTAATACCACAATTGATAAACAAATATAATGACATCGAGTGGCTATGAAATGTAGTGGGTATGTCCCTATGTAGGAAACTAGTGGCAAATCTTTGTCTGATTTTTCACTGATCGCACAGATGACGTAACTATTTCGATAGAAGGCCTCGCATTGATATATTCGAAGTGCCTATACTGGTTGCCATATAGGGAGCGCATTTTGCAGTTATTGAGCAGTAGATGAATGAATACTGTGTGATATAGCATTCACATCATACACCAACTGTCATAGTTAATAAATCAGTACGAATGTGTTTGAAATGCGCTAAAAAACTATCTACTACTCGAGCATCTCAGACAAGGAGTCGGATAATTTCGAATAGCTTACATTTGCTTTAATATGGTACGGTGGATCACATTTCGTGGGAAACTGTGCTCACACTAATTTACATTATGCTTGAGTAAGAAGTCTTCTCGCAAACATTGGCTACTATTCGTAGATGAAACGAAAGTCAGACAATAAATCGCGTGACACATCTCTGGTAGATGAGACATGCTCCATATTCAAGCCAAACACCTATAAACAATATATCGATATATAAGTCCTAGCAAGTGGATCTGCATTATGGTCGCACAAAATGACTCCTCTCTTCGCACTTCTTTGCAAGAAGAAATAGTTGGTAAATTTTGACCCCAAAGTCCATCACTCATTAAGTTTGAGGTAGCTGGTGCCTTAGTATACACATACCCCCTTCCTTCTTTTTGGTGGACCTAAGAACCGTATAGCAAAGGGTCGTATAAGTGCATGTGAATAGATTAGTAATGTGGTCTGGACCTATTTTCAACCATTCTTGTGGACCATTTCCCGCTTATCTTTATGGTTAATAATGTGGTTATGCTGTTCCAATAGTAGTTGTATACACACATGGTCTGACCGGTAATGAATTCCTACCACTCTATGCTAATCCTGGATAGACCAATACGTCATGCCCAAAGCATGTAAACTATTGAATTAATGAACTTCTGGTTCATGATAGTATGTGATTCAACTGTCTTTATGTATGTATAATACAATCCACTCAACAAACCATGCAACTTTTCCAATATACGCTTCTAGGTATCATTGGAGGTAATGCATAGATACTCCACATTTTCTGCACTTTTTGTTTCAATGCGGTATCCATTTAAACGTATGTCTTTGAAACTCAACAAATTTCGAGTAGATCGAGTAGCGTACAACGCATTATGTATGGACAATATTGTTCCATTTGGTAACATAATCTGGGCTTTCCCCGAGCCTTCAATTACATCTGAATGTTCTGATATTGTTGTTACCCTTACTTTTGTAAGCATCAATCGTGAGAAATATTTTCAATCTCGAAATATTGTATGCGTAGTTGCACAGTTTGCAAGACAAATATCTTTGCCATTTCTCATATTTTGAGAATGACCATAGTTTTTATCCATGCTCTATGAGTAAGGGAATCAGAGTTAGAAGTAAGTTATAACAGGAAATTTACATGCCACTTTTATTGAATCTAAAATGCTAGTTTTAAACTACAAGTTCAACATAATAAAAGTACATCAAACATAAATGAATCAGTCGGACCGACACATTTCATTCCCCTTTTCCACAATGAAGTCCAAAACATCTAAGTGAGTTGTGTTCAACTACCCTGATAAGTCGCACACTGGATCAGGTATATCCATTGGTTTAGCCTGGTCAAGAAAATTAGTCTCGACACCCTTCTCCTTGAGGGATGCTTGATATAGATCCACCAGATGTTTTGGGGTACGACAGGTACGCGCCCAATGCCCATTGCCACCACACCTATGGCAGGCTCCTTTATAGTTCTTGGGAGCATTGTTCATGTAAGCTTTGCCTTTGTGGCGATTCACATTTTTAAAGCTCGGGCCTGAATTTTGTCTTGTAACCTAGTTATGAGACTGACCACCATGGTTCTTGCCTTTCCTGTTCCACCGACCTCACTTGTGGCCACGTCCTCGTTTATGATTATCGCCACCAGAGAATGTGGCGTTCACATCGAGGGAAATATCATTCACTTCTGGGAATGGTGCAGTGTAGGTCGGGACTGATGATTTTTCATCAGGAGCTCATTGTTTTGTTCAGCTACCAAGAGCACAGATATCAGCTGGTTGTATTCAATAAAGCCTCGCGCTTTATATTGTTGCTGCAGGAGCATGTTAGAGGCATGAAATGTGTTGAAAGTTTTTTCTAGCAAATTTTTCTCAGTAATAGTATCCCTACAGAGCTTCATCTGAGATGTAATTCTGAACAATGCAGAATTGTACTTTGCCACTGACTTGAAATCTTGGATCCTTAGGTGAGTCCACTCATAGCGAGCTGTTGGAAGAATCATCGTTGTCTGGTGATTGTATCTGTTTCTCAAGGCCTTCCAGAGAGCTAACAGATCTTTAACCATTAAGTACTCGATCTTTAGTCCCTTATCAAGATGGCGACAAATAAAGATCATGGCCTTCGCCTGATCTTGAGAGGATGAGTTGTTCTCTTCCCTGATGGTATCTCCAAGATTCCCTGCTTCTAGATGGATCTTGGTATCCAGTACCTAGGTAAGGTAATTCTTCCCTGTAATGTCCAGGGTAGCAAAATCAAGTTTTGCCAAGTTCGCCATTTTCTTTTCTGAAAGAAAAATGAGATGTATAAGAACTTGCAATAATATGTATTGCTGGAGGAATATAGTGTTAGAACTTTTGGTTCTTACAAAGTTTTCATTTTGATCTTCAAGCCAAAATGATAAGCACTCGAAACTTCAGGCTTGAGATTTTCAAAATGAATGAGGAAGGCGATTGTACTACACCATTCTCATTGAAATAATATAACATAGGATGGGCGATTATTCCGCACCACTCCAGTAGCAGGAAAAATTTAAATACGCATAGCAGGGTGGGCGATTATACCGCACCACCTAAAATTGCAATGAAATTAAATAGCAGGCAAATTTAAATATGCAGGGTAAGGTGGACGATTATACCGCACCACCTAAAATTGTAGTAAAATTAGATCTGTAGTCCAAGATAAGCGATGATACCGCACCATCTTGGATCGCAGTAAGATTAAATTTGCAGTTCAAGATGAGCAATTGTACCACACCATCTTGGATCGTAGTAAGATTAAATTTGCAGTTCAAGATGAGCAATTGTACCGCACCATCTTGGATTGCAGTAAAATCAACATAAATAAGTACTGGGTTAGTAATCAAGATCTACACCAAACAAGAAATCAAAGATGTATGTAACTGTTAAGTTGAGAATTAGAAGCAGGCATGGAGCAAACAGTTCATTGCGAAGGTATATCGCGCAGTTAAGGCAGATGAAGAAGATGAACAGTAAAAACCTTATAGGAAACATTTTTTTCCTTTCTTTCGTTCGGCTAAGAGAAATGAGAAAATGGTTAGGTTTTAGAGACTCATGCTGATAACGTGTTATAAATATATAAAAGTTAGAGAGATAACCTTTACTAGTGACAGGAGCGAAGCAGAGGTAAAATATCACACTGTAACTATAGCACTAGGGGATGAAAAAAAAAGAGAGGGAGGAATAGATGATGTAATTGATCTTTCTTTCTTTCCGTGTGTTTTGATTGCAGTCGAGTGCTCTATTATTATAGAGCAACTTGCATTATTACAATTTGAAATTTACATCACATGACTTTGAAAATATGATCATGTTGTTTCCAAAATCTACATCACATTTGTGGGCATTGGGAATCTGTGTGTGGACATTGAAAAATTCTACCGAGGTTTTCAATATCACTATGGGCATTCACTAACCCACCAACATTTTCAACAAAAACTAATTATTTGTAGAAATCATATCTATTTTATACTTTTGTTGAGTAAATATTTATCCATAAATCGCCACTCATCATTCAGTTATGTGTATGAAGGGGCGTCTGACTTGGACATTATTTTCCATCCAAACCCTAACAATGCTGTAGACGTATGTCGACCAATTCATGTCATCACTCGGATTGTTCGGCTTGGATTTTGTTACAAGCTGAAGGCTGAACTGTGCCGGACACAATCGGCTTCACGTTCTTACAGTCAAACTAAGCTGCGGGACTGTCGCCCCCTATCACATTTACGCTCATGTCACTAAACTTCACATCATTGCATGCCCCCTCCCCGCACGAAAGTTTGACAACGGTAGCGTGCACGGTCGTGCCCTTGACGTTCTTGAAGCTCACGTTCGATATCTTAAAATTCGAGGGCACCGTCTTTTCACAACGCCCTTTGCCTTTCGGGGGAATGCATAACTCTTGGGTCAAGATTATAGGAGTGTTCTGGGTGTAGTCCAAGATAATGTCATCAAAAATCAAATTGGAAATCTCTAAAGGTTTTTGAGAACCATGATAACTCTCGATACGAATGCCTCCCTCAGTGTGCCCAAAGGTGCAGTTCTTAACGGTCACGCACTTCACGGATTTTTCGAACTGATCGGTACCCAGGGGTCCGATACCAAGTCCGTTCCCGGCCTCGCAAGGCATTTTTTCGACATGGATATCAGAGTTATCGTTGCTAATGGTAATGCAGTTGCTGTTGTATATTATGATATCTACATTGTGATGTTAACTTTTGTTGATTACTTAGAATTCCATCCGAACCCATTTCGTAGATGTTAACATCTTCGATTAACACGTTGGTGCTCTCAAAAATGCCAATGTGGACGTAGTCGCAATTGGTCGAGGTTATATCTCCGATTTCTGCATTGGTGACCCGAAAGAAAAGAAAATTCTGCATTCAATCAAGGAAACTATTAATTAATCAAACAAATTAGCTTTTTGTTAAGTTGAGCATTTAATTTAGTGCCCTTCAGTATTCAATTTTATTTTATATTTTTGTCTAACATTCATATAACATCTAACCGAAAAACAAGTGCAATGATTAAAAAGGCCGAAGATCAACAGTTAACCCAAAAAAAAAAAAAAAAAACTGAAATGACTTACGAATGCGAACATGCATGCTTGCATGGGACTTACGTACGTACGTACCATAGGTTTACTGGTGCATTTGTTTCCAGTTGTAGTTGAAGGACAATCCTTATCAACTCCCTTGCCATCAAAAGTGCCTTCTCCATAGATTGACAAGTTCTTGATATTTTGGAAAGTAATCCACGCATTTGGATGGGCACCTCCAGTTACACTTCGTATCTGAAGACTGCACTGTTCCTTCAACCTCAATTTCCACCGATTATTCGCAGGGTCCCATAAATTCAAGTTTACCGACTATATATGTTCCTTTTGGTATTGTAAGGACGCTCTCTTTCTTGGATCTGCATGCTTCTTGCCATGCATTTGAAAAAGCCTACAATCAATCCCAGAATCATATATTAGTTTAAAAAATTGTTATTGCTATTCCGAAATTCTCACTGTAAATATAATTTTTTTTTTCCCGTATTCCTATTACCAAACATCATTTGATTTAATAACAATTAGTCTCTATTTTGATAAAAAATAATCGTGATTTACAATCTCATAAGCAAAAGTTGTTCTTACAGCAGTATCACCTGTCTTGCCGTCACCCTTGGCCCCAAATTTTTTTATGTCAAGATCGATACCATCCGTTTTGGCTTTGATGGCAAATATTGTTACCAAAAACAAAAAGCACGTAATTCCATGACTAAATTTTGAACCCATGTCTAAATCGTATTAGTAAAACTTTTTGCCTCCGATAATCTTAGTACTGTTGAAATGAAGATGATTAGTCTTAAGGGCTGGGCCCGCTGGGGTGCTTTTCTATATTGTGAAGAAGGAAGCTGAAAACCACAAATTAAATTGTGAACCCTAATTTCTTAGGTCCTATTGGCTTTCTTTTATTTATGTAATCCAATTTATTTCTAGTGATGCCACTTAGTAGGACAAGTCTAGTGATATTCATCTTCACTTGTAAGTAAGAGATTTTAGGGTAAAAGACTGTTTACTACCCTCATGTTTCGTGGTTTCAACATTTAGTACATCAAGTTTTTTTCGTCTCAAAGTCATACCTAAAGTGTAAATTTTGGGACAGTCTCATACATCCGTTAGTCAAACTGTTAAGTCTCCCGTTAACTGTGACATAGCGTCTATGTGAACACTGACTGGGCACCACGTGTCATCCACGTTTTTTTTTTCTTTTTTCTTCTTCTTCTTCTTCCTCCGAATCTTGGGGAAGATTTTTTTTTTCTTTTCTTCTTCCTCCTTCTTCCTTCCTCTTCTTCTTCTTCTTCTTCTTCTTCCTCCGAATCTGGGTTGCAAATTCGTTTTTTTTTCTTTTCTTTTTTTTTTCTTTCTTCTTCTTCCTCCTTCTTCTTCCTCCTCCTTCTTCTTCTTCTTCCTCCGACTGCAACTTTTTTTTTTCTTACTCCTTCTTCTCCTTCTTCCTTCTTCTTCCTTCTTCCTTCTTCTTCTTCTTCTTCTTCTTCCTCCGATTGCAACATTTAGTACATCAAAGTTTTTTCGTCTCAGAGTCATACCTAAAGTGTAAATTTTGGGACAGTCTCATACATCCGTTAGTCAAACTGTTAAGTCTCCCGTTAACTGTGACATGGCGTCTATGTGAACACTGACTGTGCACCACGTGTCATCCACGTTTTTTTTCCTTTCTTCTTCTTCTTCTTCTTCTTCTTCCTCCGAATCTTGGGGAAGATTTTTTTTTTCTTTTCTTCTTCCTCCTTCTTCCTTCTTCTTCCTTCTTCCTTCTCCTTCCTCCTTCTTCCTTCTTCTTCTTCTTCTTCTTCTTCTTCTTCTTCCTCCGAATCTGGGTTGCAAATTCGTTTTTTTTCTTTTCTTTTTTTTTTCTTTCTTCTTCTTCCTCCTTCTTCTTCCTCCTTCTTCTTCCTCCTCCTTCTTCTTCTTCTTCCTCCGACTACAACTTTTTTTTTTCTTACTCCTTCTTCTCCTTCTTCCTTCTTCTTCCTTCTTCCTTCTTCTTCCTTCTTCTTCTTCTTCTTCTTCCTCCGACTGCAACATTTAGTACATCAAGTTTTTTTCGTCTCAGAGTCATACCTAAAGTGTAAATTTTGGGACAGTCTCATACATCCGTTAGTCAAACTGTTAAGTCTCCCGTTAATTGTGACATGACGTCTATGTGAACACTAACTTGGCACCACGTGTCATCCACGTTTTTTTTTTTTCTTCTTCTTCTTCTTCCTCCGAATCTTGGGGAAGATTTTTTTTTCTTTTTTCTTCTTCCTCCTTCTTCCTCCTTCTTCCTTCTTCCTTTTCCTTCCTCCTTCTTCCTTCTTCTTCTTCTTCTTCTTCTTCTTCTTCCTCCGAATCTGGGTTGCAAATTCGTTTTTTTTTTCTTTTCTTTTTTTTTCTTGCTTCTTCTTCCTCCTTCTTCTTCCTCCTCCTTCTTCTTCTTCTTCCTTCGACCGCAACTTTTTTTTTTCTTACTCCTTCTTCTCCTTCTTCCTTCTTTTTCCTTCTTCCTTCTTCTTCCTTCTCCTTCTTCTTCCTTCTCCTTCTTCTTCTTCTTCTTCTTCTTCTTCCTCCAACTACAACATTTAGTACATCAAGTTTTTTTCGTCTCAGAGTCATACCTAAAGTGTAAATTTTGGGACAGTCTCATACATCCGTTAGTCAAACTGTTAAGTCTCCCGTTAACTGTGACATGGCGTCTATGTGAACACTGACTGGGCACCACGTGTCATCCACGTTTTTTTTCTTTCTTCTTCTTCTTCTTCCTCCGAATCTTGGGGAAGATTTTTTTTTCTTTTCTTCTTCCTCCTTCTTCCTCCTTCTTCCTTCTTCCTTCTCCTTCCTCCTTCTTCCTTCCTCCTCTTCTTCTTCTTCTTCCTCCGAATCTGGGTTGCAAATTCGTTTTTTTTTCTTTCTTCTTTTTCCTCTTCTTCTTCCTCCTCCTTCTTCTTCTTCTTCCTCCGACTGCAACTTTTTTTTTTCTTACTCCTTCTTCTTCCTTCTTCCTTCTTCCTTCCTTCTTCCTTCTTCTTCCTTTCTTCTTCTTCTTCTTCTTCTTCCTCCTAATCTGGGGAAGATTTTATATTATTTTTTCTTCTTCCTCCTCCTCCTCTTCTTCTTCTTCCAAATCTGGGTTGCAGATTCCTTCTTCTTCTTCCTCCGACTGCAACTTTTTTTTTTCTTCATCCTTCTTCTTCTTCTTCTTCTTCTTCTTCTTCCTCTGAATCTGGGGAAGATTTTTTTTTTCTTCTTCTTCCTCCTTCTCCTTCTTCCTTCCCATTCTTCTCCTTCTTCCTTCTTCTTCTTCTTCCTCCGAATCTAGGGAATATGAAGGTTTTTTTTTATTTTTTTATTTTTTTATTTAAATATATATATATATATATAATTTTTTTTATTTTATAAATAATTTATTTTTAATTTCCACGTGGATGACATGTGGCGTCCAGTCAGTGTCCACATGGGCGCCACATCACGGTTAACGGGAGACTTAACAGTTTGACTAACGGATGTATGAGACTGTCCCAAAATTTACACTTTAAGTATGACTCTGAGACGAAAAAACCTTGATGTACTAAATGTTGAAAACCACGAAACATGATGGTAGTAAACAGTCTTTTACCCGAGATTTTAAGTTCGATTTTCGTCAAAGGCAAATTTGAACCATATTATTACTAACCCATTGTGAGGCTAAGCCTACTAATATTCCCTTAGTGTGAATAATATCATTTGTTAAAAAAAAATTATTTCCTTGTGGTTTCAATTTCATCCAATTTTAGGTGTTATTTTTGCTTAAATTTGGCTCCTACTATTCAGTATTCACACAAGAACGTATGTTTTTGCTTTTTGTAAGGAACTACGTTCGCGGAGAGCTTGTTGACCTCCAAAAGTTACCTATGTTAATTCCCGTTATTTTATTTTTTTTTAATTTTTTTTTTCACAAACGATATTATCTAAATTAAGGGGTGAGAAGTGGATTAAGCCTCACAATTGACTGTCCATAATAATGTAGTTTAAATTTGTCTTTGGCGAAAATCGAACCTAATACCTCTTACTTACAAGTGAAGAGGAATACCACTAGACCATAATACTAAGTGGCTAATTCACGTTATTAACTTCTTGTAGTAACCGTCACCAAATTATTACTCACATATATCTTTAAGCTATGTTTGGACGATAAATTTTAAGTTTAAAGGGATTGAGATCAAGTTAGTCAAGAATGGATCGAATGATGTTGATAGGAGAGATTAGAAAATACCCATCTATACATTACAAAAGCATGTGAGAGGATATTCAAATCCCTACTTGAAAGGAGTCATTTTCTAATCCCTCATACATGCCTTATTAATGCTGATATAGAAAATTTTTAAAGGATAATAATTGCATTCGCTCATGGGGAATGCTTATATCCTAATTTAAGCGAATAATGTATTTTTTTTGTATAAAATTTTATAATTAAAAATTTTGAATTTCTTAATGTTTATTTGAAGATTATCTTTCAAAAAACAAAATATTTGAATCGGAAATTGTTTATGCATTCAAATGTATAAAAAAATCGACCTTGTGTTCACCATTAGAGTTCATTACTCTAAAAGCCTGTTTGCTGAGCTAGATGGGATTGAGCCTTAGGGATACAATTGGATCGGCAAAGACATGTAAAACAAGACTTGTAACTCATGCATAAGGTTATGTTAAATAACCCACTTTATTGTTGATTTATAACTCATCATGTTTAGTTCTGTTGATGCACAAAATCAGTGAGGACTTTGGTACAACAGAAAATGTTAAGTTTGTGACCTTCACTAGATTGCTCCGGTCACTAGTGTGAATAAGTATGTAAATGGATAGGGACAGGGAAGCAAACACAAGATGTACATGGTTCACCCAGATTGGCTACGTCCACGGAGTAGAGGAGTTCTCATTAATTTTGAAGGGTTTACACAAGTACATAGGTTCAAGCTCTCCTTTAGTGAGTACTAGTGAATGATTTAGTACAAATAACATTAGGAAATATTGTGAGAGAATGGTCTCTATTTATAGAAGAGAGTTTCTAGTTTCATTCTGACATTGAAACGTGTCGTGTTGTGATTGACTTTTGATGTTGACACGTGTTGCGCTATGATTGGCTTTTGATGTCGACACGGGTCGCGCTGTGATTGGCCTCTTGGTTGGAGGGAAACTCTTCTGGGTCCTTGACGGTATAACGTTGACCGATGCTCAGTAGTTTCGGGATTGGTCAAGTATGGTATAAACAAGTTCTGTCAATCTCACCGTTTGACACAATAAATAACAGACTGTAAAATCTATTTTAATTGGTCACAATCTATTGTAAACCAGCCCACCAATGAGCAATAGGTCTTGCATGTAAAGGATCATGTACACATGCCTCAAAATTTCCTTCCCAAGCTACATGAAACAGTGGACTAACTTAATTAGTTCTACAGGTCTGGGGCTATTTACAACTATCTAATTAAGAATTATAAGATGTTTTTGAATTGTTAATCCACGTATGGTTGATTTGACGTTAATGCAAACAAATAGTGGACTGAGTTCTACAACGAAAAACAAAAGCTAACTTGACTATTAGACCGAAAAAGAAACTAATAGTATAATGCTTCAGACCCTATTTTGTAATTGCCAATTTCTGAAAATCATACTAAACTTAATTGACCATTCATGTAAAGTATGAGAGGACTTTTTCCTCAAAAAAAAAAAAAAAAAATGTATGATAGGACTTAAAT